TCTCTCCACACTCTGCACCAAATTAAAAAGCCCAAGTGATATAGGAGGTCTGTGCATGGTCGAGACTCCAGAATGTATTCACATCTCCTGGGAGTGATGTTCTTGGAACTGTACTACCTTTTGGGTCTCAGAGACAGCAGCCTTCTCAGGTGGCTGATTTGATGCATAAGAGCTGGGGACTTCGGGCCAACACCAGGAGTCCTCTGCCCCCAGGAGAGGTAAGGCTATGACTCACTGAACAAGTAAACATCCCTTGAGAACCTGTGTGCTTGGCATTCATTCTGGGACCCAAAAATGAAACACCTGGGCCTTGTGCTTGACGAGCTCATGGTTCCTGCCTCTCATTTGGGGAAGTCCACTAGGACCCAAGGGTCTCCTGTGGGTGAACATCTATTTCCTCAGGGAAAGGAAGCCCAGTGCTAGAAGAGCAGGACCACCACCAGCGCCATCCCTCCCCACGCTCCCCCTCGCCCCAGCTGAGGGAACCGCTGGAGCTTATCCAGGAGGCCCAGGCGGGAGGCAGCGCCTTCTGTCCAGCATCAGGGAAAACCTGAATTTCAGCCTAAAGACGTCTAGAAGGTGTGTACTAATCCATGCTCCCCTCAGGAAGCTAGGTTAAATAGAGGTAAGCCTCGATTTCCTTCCGTTAGCTGGATGTGGTAATAACCTAATCTCAGCACTGTGGGCAAAAAAAGGGAGGATGTTCATGATTTCCTACCTGCCACCAGACAGCGGCAAACATCTCCACTAGGCTTAGAGAGGCAGGGAGGCATGTACCGGGCTATTCAAGCTACTTCTGGGAAACCTCTGGAGCTTGCCAAGTTGCTTTTTCAAAAGGCAGCTTGCTTGCAATGCATTCTTTTCTGCAGCAGCACAAATTCTAAGTGTCCCTCTGACCTGCATAGTGCCTGTGCAACCTCCCCCCTCCCCACTTTACTTTCCACCTTGAAACGTTCATTTAAGTACCTGACTCACTGCCAAACAAGAGTAGAAGGCATTCTAATTGTTCAGGATGCTATTTAAGTGGGAGATTTTAAACTGCACGCGTCTTTTAAGAACTGTAATTTAACAAGAGCAGGTTCTAAGCAAGATGCGCATGTCACTTCCAGCAATGACTCATCGGGGTGCATTTGGCTGTGACACAGCTGCTGTGCATGAGTATGGCCATTACAGATGTTTAGATGCTGAGCTACTCTGAGCAGCTGGTAACTAGCCGCCACGAAGATTCAAGACCACCCACGGCTCCAGCATCCTCCCAGCTCCAGGGCCTGCAGCCCAGACTTTATCAGGGGCCTATGAGGTGTTCTCTGTGCTATGGTTGGCAATGCCTGTGTCATCAAATATTTTGATTATGTCCCCTGCTTATAATAAGTGTCCTGGGGATAAAAACATTTAAAAACCTGCTAGACTTTTCTGCACGTTCCTGTCAGCAGTATTATTAGATGCACATAACTAAACTGACCAACTGGTAATAAATGAGACCCCCCATGGAAACCCCACATTTCCATGCCAGCAGGGGTGGGAGGGAGATGCTGAAGGTGTGGGGCCCCAAAACATAAACAGCGGCTCACACGTTGAGAGGCAGCTGGACCTTGGGAGCCACGCCCTGCTGTTCAGCTGCTGGGTCGGATCCGGCAGAGGAATCCTGTGAACAGACAAGAAAAGACAGTGAGCTGAAAGGAGGCTTTGCCCAGGGAGGAGAGAGAGAAAGTCGCACCTGAGTCCAGAGGCACATGTCCTCTCTTTAGGGTCTACTTGCTTGGGTTGTTAATAATGTTTTTTCAATATATTGGAGAGAGCTTGGGGACCAGTGACCTGGGGCCCACGTAGCTGTCCAAGCCCTCCCGGAGCAGCCACTCAGAACATGTCTGCAGCCTGCACCTGGGTTAGTCAGAGCCACACTGCATTGAACACGGGGAAAGGAAGTTTCTGGAAGCTCATCTTTATTCTCAGAAATTGAAAGAATTATTCTTGTGTTTGTAAAAAGAAAATCCAGACAAAACTTTTCATACTACAAAGCCTGGGCATATTTAAAAACTGCACTCCCAGGAACTGAAGGTTAATCTCTACAGAAAACTGGTCCTTGGCTGTGGACAGAGGGGCAGGCTGTGGGGCAACACTGACAGAGCACCGCATCTCCCCTCAGCCCCAGGGGTGCTCAAAGCCTCAGGGTCTGTTGTGTGGGGAGACGACTGGAGGAACGGCTGCTTCCAGATGGTTCTTTGTATCAGGTGCATGCTATGTGGGTGGAGGGAGGTGGTTAAGAACCAAGCAGAGAGATCTGGGCTGTGTGACAATCTCGCTGAAGCAGTTCCTGCAGACGCCACACACGAGGGACAGCACTATCCCCAAATCTCCTCACTCATGCAGCCCCAGTCATCCCTGGGGCAGCACCCTGCCTTCTGGTTCAGATGGCAAAATGAGTTGAACTGTGTCCCCCAAACGGTATGTCCAAGTTGTAGCTCCTGGTGGCTGTGAAGGTGACCTTATTGGAATAAGGGTCTTTGTAGAGATCAGGTAAGGATCCTAAAATGAGATTACCCTTGATTACAATGAGCCCTAAATCTTATGAGAGGAAAGGAGAACAGAGACACTCGAGGGGAGGGGAAGGGAAGCTACGTGAAGATGGGGGCAGAGATGGGAGACACGTGTCTACAAGCCCAGGAACACCAAGGATTGCTGGCACCACCAGAAGCTGGGAGAGAGGCCTGGGACAGATTCTCCCTCAGCCTCCAGAAGCAACCAGTCCTGCCTGCCAACACCTTGATTTTGGACTTTTGGGTCCCAGAACTGTGACAGGTTAGCTCCCTGCTGCTTTGAGGCACCAAATTTGTGGTACTGTTACAGCAGCCCCAGGGAACGAACACAGCTCAACTCCCTGAGCAGTCTGGCCTTGCTTAGCTGGGGAGCTCCGCATGCTGAGGCAGCCTCCCAGCCCCTCCCCGGTGGTCTATCTCCCTCCTCCACCAGGGACCCTGAAAGGTGCCGGACACCACAGCTCAGTCACGACCTCTAAGAAGTTAGAAATGCTATTTCTTCTTTTTTAAACAACGAAGTACCTGGCAGAACGGGAACATGCAACATAGAAGTGTAACTTCCCTCATTTCTCCAAGATCCCTCAGAGTCTCTAAGGACCTCCCACCCAATCCGACACCTGTGAGAGGAAGTCTGCTTTCCCAAAGCAGCCCCCTCACCAATCTCATCCCATGGCTGGTGCACAGATGCCGTTTCCTGGAGTGCTGTGTGGGAACTGGGCTAAAAGCTGGGGACATTCCTTCTGCTGATAGATTTGGGGGATTTCTGTCTGTTCATCACACCTGCCAAACCTAAGAGGGGAGACAGAGACCAGCAGGCATTCACCACCAAAGCTTGGGATTGTTTTCCTTCGAGGTGGTAGCTGGTGGAGTTCACCACAACCAGCCAGGGACCATCTTCCACAGGCTGCAGGTAGGGGTGGGCACCTGGTTCCAGACCCTTGCTCCCCTGGGGTATGGGCAAGCAGCCCTAGTGCTGGTTTTCCCACAGCTCTCTCTCCTTGGATGGTCCCTGGAGAAGGTGTGGGCAGGACGTCAGGTTCCTTCACTCACTCACTCAGGCTTGCGCAGGTGGTGCCAAGCTGGAGGTGGCAGCAGAGGTCCGAGAGCACCCAGTGTGCTGCTCATCACCTGAGCAAGGTCAGACCTGGTCAGTGAGCGGATAAGAAATGCCCCCCTCGGCCTCCACACAAGCAAGAAGGCAGTGTGCCAGTCAATTGAGCTACAGGGCTGTCTGCCTGCATGAGGCATGTTCTGGGTCCTCACCGATGTCTGCTGACCACCTGTCAGGACTGGCAGGGGCACAGACACAGCCTCTGGGCCCAGTGTGGGGCTTGCACGGGGGGAGGACAAGCATTACTCATGTCATTATAGACAGGGGTGTCTGAGTAAGGGCAGGGCCACAGGAATACACAACAGGGGCCTCACCTGAGGGCATGGCCAGGGAGGGCTTTGGTGAGCAGGGGGTGGGCTGTTGGGTGAGGTGGTGAGGGTCGGGATAGGTGAAGGAGGAGCAGAGTAGTTTGCCCAGCAAGGGCTGGCAAAGGCAAGCTCAGCAACTTTGAAGAAACTGAAAGAAAGTTAGAATGAGTGATGAGGGAAAGTGCTCAGAGTGGTGAAGAGCCAGCCCATGAGAGGCCTCCTGGGAGGGTCTGGTCTTCCCCTTGAGGGCAGAGATGCCCTGGAAGGCTGGTAGGAGAAAGACAGAGGTAGGACCAGACCCGGCACTTACAGAGGAAGCACTGAGGAAGGTCAGGTCTGGCTCAGGGGCGTGGGGATGGAGAGGGAGAGCGGACGGAAAGTTAGGTGAGTGGCTCACATTCACAGAGCCAGTGCATGGCCGTGGCTGGGCCTGGACTCGGGCCATCTGAGACTGGGGGCCATGTGCCTACTCATCAGGCCGTCTGTGAGTTTCTCACAGCTGCTGCAACAGATTATGACAAACTTAGCGACTCGAAACAATACAGATATACTGACAGTTCTGAAAGCCAGACATCCCAAAGCTAGGTGTTGGCAGGGCTGTGCTCCTTCTGGAGGTCCTGGGGCAAAATCCATGCCTGGCCTCGTACAGCTCTATCTGCACCTCCGTTCCTTGGCTTGTGGCCTCTGCCTCCATATTGAAAGCCGGCAATGCACCACCTTCAGATCTCTCTCTGGCCTTTGCTTCCATCATCTCATCTTCCCTCTGACTCTTAACCTCTCGCCTCCCTCTTACAAAGACCCTGTGATTACACTGGGACCACTGGGTAATTCAGAACAATCTCCCCAGCTCGGGTTCCTTGCCTCTTTTGCCAAGTAAAGTGGCACATTCGCATCTTCTGGGATCAGGACGGGGTGCATTTGGGAGCCCGATGCTATCTCCTCCACCAGCAGGACTAGGGGGGTCGTGAGCTGAAGGGCACGAGGGAGGAGAAGGAGCCGTTTCTCCTTAGCAGCTGGCCAGGTGGAGATGCCATTTGAGGAGATGGGGAGCATGAGGTCTGGGGGAGGCATCAGGGTTGGACATGTTGAGACTGACATGCCTGGAGACGGTGACAATGAGGGCAGTGGTCATGCCAACCAGCTGAGCCGAGGGGACTGGCCTGGAGGTGTAGACATGGGGATCGTTAGCATATAGCCTGTCTACACAGCAGTGCAGCCTAACAGTTAGGTCCTTGGTGCTCAAGTGTGCGAGCCTGTGTCTGTGTGACCTTGGACAAGCAATGGCACGGAGCCTCAGCGGCTCACGTTTAAGACAGGAGTTGGGGACTTCTCCTCGCAACTACAGTGTGGCAACAGGGACTGAATTTACCCTCCCACCTAAAAAAGGTGAAAAACCAGGCCAAATATGTGAATCAATGGTTCCCAAAATTTTGAAAATTAATAAAGGACAGATGGATATGCCCGAGAAATGAGAAAATGGGGTCATAAAGGCTCCCACCTTCTATGTTAGTTGGAATGTTAAATGAGATAGTTTAATTTAAGCCCTCAACAAATGCTGGCTGTTGTGAAGCCAGGGTGGGAGGCGGGTGAAATGGCCTGAGGGAGAGTGTGGCGCAAGGAGAGAGGACATCCTGAGACGGCCTGTGGACCACCAACCCCGCCGAGGAACCGGCAAAGGGGACAGAAAAAGAGCAAGTAGTGTCTCTGGGTCCACGGGAGCAGCAGTTTCCAAGGGAAGCAGTTGTCAACCACGCTGAATGCTGCGGAAAGTCAGGCAAGAGGAAGGCAGAGGAGCCTTCGATTCGGGGGGAGGAGGGCAGACACGTACCTCACACTCACGGGGGCTGGCAATTCTTGTTAACAATGAACCTAAAATAAGCGAACAAGGCAGTCGTGAAGGTTCAGATGAGGATCCCACCGCAATACTATTTATAACATGGAAAGCCTGGAGCAGCCCGATGCCCACGACAGAAGGTTCGATGGCAGATGGTGCCATGCACAGCGCGGCCCTGAAGGGAAGTCACCGAGAGCCGGGGGGGCTGTGTGAAGTACCAAGCGGAAAGGCGGCTAGAGAATTGGGCACGTATGGTTACCTCGCTTCTGTAACAGATCATGTCTCTCCCTGGGAAAAAGGTCTGGAAATTTATATACAAAATGATATATACCAAACATTGGTACTGAAGGGAGTTAGGATTGCGGATAATTTTTCTTAAATCTGTGTTCAAATTTTTCATCATTTTAATACCAACAAGCAAGAATGGTTTTCTGATACATTGTCAAAGTAATAAAAAGAAGAAGGGTAAGTGATTTGAGACCTGTTTCAAGATCAAGCTCTGGTTGGTAGTGATCCCTGTGTTCCTAGATCCCACATGTGCCATCTTTGTGGGGATGCCAGGGGCGGCAGGAGAAGACCATGCGTGACCCTGAGGATCGGCCACTCTGTTGACCAAGTCTAGGTGACTGTTGGCAGCATGCAGGCAGTGGCAGTTATCTGGGCACCAAACAGAGCAGATACACAAGATGACTGGCTCATGTGAACCTCAAACCCATGACCTGTCCAAATAACTCCCCTGAAACAGCCCACCCAACCCAAACCAGCTCAGCACACGCAGAGCACCAGGGACTGCTCTGCATCTTGCTGTGACCAGAAGGCCTTGTGTGGGGCCTCCACCTCCCAGTGTTCTCCAGC